CCCGCGGCATCCAGGACCCCTCTGCTGCCACGGGTGTCCCGACGTCACCCAGGGTCCCCCTGCCATCCGGCGTGTCCTGGCCGTCCCATGCCACCTGGGGTTAGGACATCCCACCCACCGTCCAGGATGTCCTAACGCCACCCAGGGTCCCCGTTATCACCGGAGGCGTCCCCCCCAAGATGAGGTCTCCTCACCATCCAGGTTGTCCCCGTGCCATCGGGGGTGTCCCCTCGCTCTCCAGGGTGTCCCCCCCCACCTCCCTCGGGGTGTCCCCTTGCTCTCTAGGGTGTTCCCCACCACCCACGGTGACCCACGCCACTTCAGGTGTCCTCAGCCACCTGGGGCGGCCCCTGGTCTCCAGGGCTGTCCTCGTGCTCTCCAGGGTGTTCCCAGGCACCGGGGCTGTCCCCGCAGCACCCCCGGACCTGACGGGACAACCCCCCCCCCAACCCCTCCACAGGCAACGTGGTGAACGGGACCATCGCCCGGCAGATGGTGGACATGCTGGTGGAGTCCTCCAGCAACGTCACCATGATCCTCAAGTTCTTCGACATGTTCCTGAAGCTGCGGGACATCGTGGCCTCGGACGCCTTCCGCGACTACGTCTCGGACCCGCGAGGTCTCATCTCCAAGAAGGACTTCCAGAAGGCGATGGACAGCCAGAAGCAATACGAACCCGCCGAGATCCAGTTCCTCCTCTCCTGCTCCGAGGCGGATGAGAACGAGATGATCGACGTGGAAGCCTTCGCCGGTCGCTTCCAAGAACCCGCTCGCGACATCGGCTTCAACGTAGCTGTGCTCCTCACCAACCTCTCGGAGCACGTTCCCCATGACCAGCGTCTCCGGACCTTCTTGGAGCAGGCGGCCAGCATCTTGGAGTATTTCCGTCCTTTTTTGGGACGGATCGAGATCATGGGAGCGGCTCGACGGATCGAACGCCTCTACTTCGAGATCAGCGCCGCCAACAAGGCGCAGTGGGAGATGCCCCAAGTGAAGGAGTCCAAGCGTCAGTTCATCTTCGACGTGGTCAACGAGGGGGGGGAGGCCGAGAAGATGGAGCTCTTCGTCAACTTCTGCGAGGACACCATCTTCGAGATGCAGATCGCTTCTCGCCTCTCCGAGGAGGAACCCCCTCGGGAAGGAAGGGAGGATGAGGAGCAGGAGGAAGAGGAGGAGCCCCCCGACCTCACCGGCTCCCCGCCCTCCGCCGAACCCACCTCGGCTTTTCGGGAGCTGCTGGCGGGGGCCGGGGGGTTGCGACATTTGTTGGGGTTCCCCCAAACTTGGCGGCGACGGTTGCGACGGTTGCGACGGCGGCCGTGTCGGGAGCTGGCGTGGGCGGCGGGGGCGGCCGC